CTTGGAAACAGTTTAGTTACTACTTATTATTGCCCTTTTCAACACTTACAACAAAACAACTCATTCCTAAATCATAAACATTAAAAAAATGAAAACAGAAATATTTATGTAAAATATGTTTGAAAAAACATTGTATATATCAAGTGGTCGCCAGTCTATGATCCCCATTCAATAATCAATAATAATTTTCTCTGGTGTTTGAAAACACAGGAATTTTTTAAGAATACAATGACTTTATGGAAGAATAAATAGCTTTTAATGTAAGTTCTATCTTCTGTTGTAGAAAAGGTGAACATTCAGTATCTTTTCATTAATTATTTATGATTAGAAATAACGAAAAACAATGTATTGAGTTTGAGTCTAGAATTATCGTCATAAAAATGAGAATATTCTGTAAATTATTAAAATTCACCGTAAAATATAAACAATAATCTTATGGTGAATTGTTTTTTGAATGTAATAAAAACTAGAAAATAGTAGAAAATGTTTGAGTAAATTGAAAAGATTAAAATTCAAACTATCATTAAATGAAAAGATAATATGATATAGATGTAAAAATGAAATATTAATTCCTGTATTACTATTATTTACAACATATTTTGGCATTTATTAATTAAGCGTTAATTCTATACAATAGAAATATCACACAAATATAAAACTCAATTTTGTACAACAAATTAATAGACATTAATTAAACGGCATAACAATGTATGGGAAAAAGCATAAATTCATTTTAGTTTAATTATATATCGATTTTAATGGCAAAAACTATTATGTTTTATTAATGTGTTAAATAGGATTCATACGAGTGTATTACTGATTGAGGCGCTGCTGTTCGGTCTGTTTGTTGTGGCGGTGCTCACGGATCAGGTAATCAAATATTTAATTTACCAAAAAGAAAATACAAGAATAACATTAGTAATTGAATTAATGTTTACTCTATTTGATTGGATATTCAAGTTTCAGGCGATTTGCGCCAATGAGACGGCGATTGATAGGTATTTGTCTCAACACTCGTCCAAAGCAAACAAAGCCCAGAATAAGACGAAACCGAAGACCAGAAAATTGTTGACAGAGGTGTGCGGAAAGGGTCCTATGATTTGGTGGCTCTTTCCCTGCGATTTCAATCGCAGACATCATAAAACAGATAATACTTCGCATTTCATTGTATAGTGTATTAAACTGTATATGCATTTAAAGCTAGTATTACGCTATCATTAGTGCAAACAAATTATTGTGATAATAATTATATAATTAATAAGTAATAATCAATTTATACATAAGTCATATATAATATCCTCAACACTACCTAAATGTCTGATTGATTTTCTGTATTATAAATATTATTATCAAAGTTTTGTCAAATTAATTATTATTATTATAACTATTATTTTAGACAAAATACGTAAATATATTATATATAAAATGACTAAAATCATTATTTGTAATTATAATATAATTATATTTAGTTTGTTATTAAAACTTTTATTTATTGTGATATAAAAGGCTCATAAAGACAATAACTTGATAATTAATTAGTTATAGTAGCTTTTAGAGACATAAATAGAATATTGGTAGTTTTATTGAATTATAATAAACGAATACAATAGTTAAATGATCGAGAATATTCTTTGTAGATTACCATGTTTTGTGGGCCTTTGAAATAGTGTTCAAATGTCTAATTTTATAATTTGTTTTTTTAAATAGTATTCTTTAAAATAATGAAATTAATAATAAAATATTTGAATTAATTGCAAGTTTTAATAAATTTAATGTTTTATTATATTTATAAGTAATTGAATGAAAGTAATGTACATTTTATAAGAAACTCCAGTCTTTTGAATTGCCTTTTGTTTCGCGTCGTCTTTCATTTTGAGAGACATTTATGTTTTGATTAATAAAAACTAATTTATCATAAATAGTGATATAAATAGAGGAAAATACAAAAAAGACAAATCTATTCAAATTAATTTTAACAGTGAATAAAATGTAATTAAAAATTTGTAGTTTGTTTAGAACATTATCTTATATGATATATGTTGAGACATTTTGTTGTATAATAAATAAATGAATTATTGAATATTAAAGCACAGTTAGGTCTCACAATACTCAGTATACTGTTATGTGTTTTTACATTTGTTTTATTTTGTATTCAAAATGTTTGTTTGATTTCACATTAAATGCAATGAAATGTTATAATGAAAAGTGTAGTACAAAACAGAATATTCTATAATTTTACATATTATTAATGAAATTATTTGAAATAAATATCAATATTTAGAATTAAAATATTATCAAATAGTAATGTAATGATTATAAAAAAGGTTTATTCAATACATTTCAATAAGAATATGAAATTTAAATGCATTTCCAATGAATTCTTTCGTAACATTCATTTCATTCAATAATATCTATTGACAAACATTTCTAAACGCCTTTTGCGCTCAAAACTACAAAATCAATAATCGTCACAATATTTGCTTATTATATGCAAAAACCTATGTTTTGCGTTAATAAACAGTTTGTTTTTACATTTCGTAATCTCAATACATATTTATGGACTTCACTATTAAAATAATTCATTTAAATATAATTTATGGCAAACAAAGCAAACTAGAGATCAATCCTTTCAGTAGAACTTTGCATTGAAATAAACTTTTCAGACAAAAAATCAGATTTCAATTAATGTCATAATTAGAGGAATAATAGAATAATTGTTAAACAAATATAAAATACATGTAAAAATTAATGCAATCCAAACGTGATTATCTGGCAAACGGTACTTGTCTTAAGCGGCTTTAGTAGTGGTGTTAGTTGTGGTGGTATTGGTGTTGCCGTTGAAAACTTTCGCCGTTAAACTCTTATCCTTTGAATGGTCCGCTTCTTTGACAAAATAGGCGTAAATGAGGCCAAAACAGACCACAAGGAAGTGAAACACATGCGAAGCGATGGTAACCTGACTGCCAAACCATATGACGTCCGAAATGCGGTAGTGAGCGATGAACCATATGATGGCCATTAACGTCATCGACGTGTGAAGAATGTACCGCTGGTTGAGTATCACTCCGACGATCACCAGAATTGCGATCACTTCCTCTAATATAGTGTCGAAAATATTCATACCTTTCATGCGATCGAAATTTTGTTTGTCATACGCCGCCTGTCCTGTCCGTCCCCTGTCCTGTGGGTTCGGCTGAAACTTTTTGGCCTGACTGTCCGAATCCGATATATGGTTATTGTTTTCCACTCCCTGTACTATCCATAGGATCATTAATATAGAGATGAGTACCACGAATGAGATCTTTGCCACCAGCGCTAGTATTGTACGAATTTCGGGCATATTTTTGTGTTTCACGACTTTCACGTCAATCACAATATTCTGTGTGTTTGCGACAAATATGCGACAAAACAAGTCTTTTATATAGGAATCAAACGCTAAACGACTGAACGGCTTATAAAGAAGTGAAAGCTTTTGATCGAAACTACACTACACTATAGGACTATGTCTTGTGGTATGTCTTTGAACCACCGCTGCCTTGGAAACAGTTTAGTTACTACTTATTATTGCCCTTTTCAACACTTACAACAAAACAACTCATTCCTAAATCATAAACATTAAAAAAATGAAAACAGAAATATTTATGTAAAATATGTTTGAAAAACATTGTATATATCAAGTGGTCGCCAGTCTATGATTCCCATTCAATAATCAATAATAATTTTCTCTCTGGAGTTTGAAAACACAGGAATTTTTTAAGAATACAATGACTTTTTGAAAGAATAAATGGTTTTAATGTAAATTCTATCTTCTGTTGTGGAAAAGGTGAACATTCAGTATGTTTTCATTAATTATTTATTAGTAAAAATAAAGAAAAACAATGCATTGGGTTTGAGTTTAGGATTATCGTCATAAAAAGGAGAATATTCTGTAAATTATTAAAATCAACCGTAAAATATAAACAATAATTTTATGGTGAATTGTTTTTTGAATGTAATAAAAACTAGAAAATTGTAGAAAATGTTTGAGTAAATTGAAAAGATTAAAATTCAAACTATCATTGAATGAAAGGATAATATAGATGTAAAAATGAAATATTAATTCCTGTATTACTATTATTTACAACATATTTTGGCATTTATTAATTAAGCGTTAATTCTGTACAATAGAAATATCACACAAACATAAAACTCAATTTTGTACAACAAATTAATAGACATTAATTAAACGGCATAACAATGTATGGGAAAAAGCATAAATTCATTTTAGTTTAATTATATATCGATTTTAATGGCAAAAACTATTATGTTTACTGTGGCTTATAATGATTTATTAAATGGATTAGTTGTGCGCTAATGTTATATAATAGGTATAGACAGTATGGCATGTATTAGTCTAATAGTATGTCTGTATGAATGCGGAAATACACAATTTACATATGATTCATAGTAGTAATTCCGGTAGTAATTCATTCATGATATCAATAAGAAAAATACTTTACAATATTGTTTTCTCGCTTAAAATGTAAGCAATAAATCATTGTATTCTTAAATCAGAAAGTATTTTAAACATCGTTTAGAATAATATAGTTTCATATCATTTGTGTTTCGTTAATGTCATATAAAAGACAAGAATATTGCTATTAGTAAATAGTAAAACAATACAAATGCTATAAATCATGCAATTCTTATCATTCGTGTTATTGACTTCAAATTGTTGTCAAGACTATACAGATGTACTGAATATTATATTATGGTAATAACGGTTTAATACTTTGTCGGAGAACTAATTTATTTAAATGCATTTAAATTGAAAATATTTGAATGCATTTAAATAATATATTGATTTATATAGTGTTTACTCAATTATGTTGAATTTTTGTTATAAAAAGTGGAATATTTGTATAAAAATAATATAATATAATAGGGATTTATATCTTAATAAATGTACAACAGCAGAAACATTGCAAATTGCATCAATTAACCATAGTAAATAATTAACTAATTATTACTATACAAAGTCTATAATCTAGATGTACTGCTATAGTTGTAAGATTAAAACCAGATATTTTTAAAACTATTTTAATACCCAGATATTGATTATTATGCACTAAATTCTATACTATTTATTTACTTTTGTTAGAATAAATCTAAATGTAGAAATATTTTTGATTAAATAAATTTGTAACCAATTGTATCAAACATGTAAAGAATGTTAGGAATAAATTTTCTTTATTTGAATAGTCTATCAAAAGATGTTTATTTACAAAAAGTAAATTAAATATAACTATTGATTAAATGAAATAAATCTTTGGTTTGTGTAATATTTTAGTTAAAGATGGCTAAACTCATGCGAGCGATAGAGTATCGATCGACGGGACAGTCGGCGTAATGGACGGCACAGGTCTCGCACACGCCGTTGAAGGCCAGTTGATAGCCGCGAATAATCCCGCCGTGAATGATGTCGACAGACGCGGGTTTGTTGGGGTCGTTGATCAGAATCGGCGACCTCTCGGACGGCGGTTCGCTATTGGGCTCGCGTTTGATGTGAAAACAGGTGGACTCGCAGCTGACGCGGGCGTAACAGACGCTCAGATTCGCCAAATCCAGGAAACGCATCGAATTGTGCAGATATACCATCTCTGAAGTCATGCCACCCTTTGGTCCGCTCTCCTCAAAGATTGTGATGTTCTTTGCGGTCAACTCTTTGTACAACTCATTGGTTTTGATGGTGTAGTCGTATTGCATTGGTGTGCATCTGGCAAAGTGTTGCTGACAGATACCGCACTGCTTGTCCCGACCCA